CACCATCCACGTTTTACAACACGTCGTCCTCATACATATTTTTAAAACAATCAATACAAAAAAAAAAGCCAGGCATATCATCACATCTAAATTGTTTTCTGTATTGCATTGTTTTTGACAAAGAAAAAAAAACTGGATGATCAACAAGAATAAAAATAAAGATTAACTTTATTCTTTGTTTTTGTTTTTACAACAAAAAATAAAAAACAATGACAATCTTTTTGGTTTAGAAGAGATTTTGCCGTTCGATGAGGGGTTCATTTATAAGAACATTGTATGATGAAAATTAATACATCCTTTTTTCTTTACATAAAACTTGGATTTGGCATGGTCAGTTATCGTTTACCTTCACTTGTGCAGAGTTCAAAGTTTAAAGGTGCAGAAAGTTTAGTCTACCAAATAAAAAAAGTAATCGATTAATAGTAGTTAAAAAGAAAACATTTCTACTCCTGAGCAACATTGATTACTTTGTAAAAGTCAAATCTTTCTTAGAGTAAATAACTGAAACATTTGTGTAAAAGATGCTTGCGGAATACCTCTTCAAACAAGGATCGATTATATTGCAAAGAATTCTGTCATTATTTATTAAAATATATGATGTTTGTAGAAATGTTAGAGCTCTACATACCAAAATAATTCATTGAAAAATTCTGTCTATTTTTGATGAAATTCCTTAAGAAAATTAGCTGATAACAAATTTTCCTAACTTCAGTTGCTAATTTTAAGAATAAGAAAGACCGTTCCTCATAGAACTTAACGCAAGCTTCACTAAACACATTTATTTTGAGCACAGTTGGATTTAATATTCGCAATTGTTTTCTAGAAACACTAAGTTATTAAATTTCGTCACCAGAAGCTTAAAAAATAATTAAAAAATGCATCAAAATGACGAAAAACACATTAAAGTCGATGTATTTCGAAATCATTGATTAAAATCAACATTGCCATCAATTAGTTTTCATGAATTGGATAAAACAAAAGCCATTTTCATTTCATTTATTCGATTAAAATGTTCACTTTAATCAATGAATTAAAGATATATCAGTTTTTATTTCTGTTTCATTATCTGAGGGGCCTTTTTTGTGCTATTGATATTAACTTCATGAAAGTAATGAATTTCTTTTTCAATTTTTTATTTCATATGTAGCATCCGATTTATGCGATGCTTTTCGACTAAAGCTTTTTGCACTATTTTTGTTCATAAGTATGCACATTTCACATTAACGTCGGATTCTAAACAAAATGGAGCATTTAGCTTATCCAAAGAACCCACTGTATTTTGTAATCTATTCTAAACCAAAATATCATACATGTGGGTTTGCAGAACTATTTACGATGTATCTAATGCTATATAATAAAACAAGATTTTCTCAGCTTTTGATGTTCTGAGAATTCATATACTGGTTGTAATTTTTGAGAAATATACATATATATGATACTTATAGACATTGTGACCCCTAAAATATTTTAAGATGATCTTATGCAAATTTTGCTTTTAAATTCTATCCAATACAGGTATAATTTCTCTTTCAGTTTTCTATAATCAATAGTGTTTATCCTTGTTCTTTTCAAATTTAAGATTTAACTACGTGTCATAGAACAATTGATTAGCTATATTAAACTTGCTTAAAGGTTGCAGATTATTGATGTCTATATGTTTCAGAGATAAGATCTTTGGGAATAACAGGAACTCATTGTCAACTTGTAAGATTGTCTCATATAATAGCCTATTTTTTTACATTTAGGGTTCGGTGTACTGAAAATACTTTAACAATACTTAACAGGGTGCTATTAAAAATTCGTATGTACCAATAATCAGTCAAACATAGTTGATGGAATTATAAAAGTAACTCTGTTATAAACGGAAAGAAACTTACTTTGGCTTCTGAGTTCTTGAAGGAGTTACGGGGATATGGGAAAATTCCTTTGTGAAATGAACATAAGATACTTAAAAATTCTTCTAGAGTTTCATACGTAAATCAAAGCTGGATCTTGTGAATAAAAGCTGGAAAAAGAAATAGCAAAAATAACAGACATTCTTCCTGCAACCATATTCCCATAGCCCCCTCCAGGGATTCGAATGTCAAAAAATGTCTTTCCGTTTAGCAAGGAGCTATTTATATTAGACCATCAACTGTTTTATCGATTATGGGTACATACAAATTTTTGATTGCACTCCGTCGCATATTGCTAAAATATTGTCAGTATACCAGACCTTATATACAAAAAACTAGGCTACAATTTGAGAATGATTCCTTATTATTCCAAAAGATGTTATCTCTGAAACATATAGAGATCGATAATCTGCAACTTTTGAGCAATTTTAACGTTGTTAATCACTTGTTTTGTAACACAGAGTTGAGCACACTAAAATATCAAATAGTTAAAAATAATCTAGACCTGAAAACAAGAGCCAATTATTAAGACTATTCGGAATTTTGACAAAAAAATTTTATACACAAACGGCGCCTGATCAAGACCTATTTAATAATCTCTGCGAAGATTTACTCTAAAAATTGTAATTGTCTGGACACAATAGAAGCCCTGGAACTACCAATAGTTATTCTACATTGATCCTTCTAAAGTGGGCTTTTAATACGCGTGAGGAGGTAAGGTTTTCTATTTTGGGAAACGGATTGGCTCTAGAACTCTTTGCTTTTAATTAAACAAAGTATTAATACTCATTTCATAAAAAAATTGATTAAGTGTTTTTTAAGTAATATTTGATAGAACCAAAGTACAGAGCTGTGATTATCACCTCTACGAAAAGAAGATGAAGAATCGAGTCTTACATTCAAGATATGTTGATATGGTTTTTTTTAAAGGTTTTCAAGGATCGGGTGTCTGTTCAAACCGCTACTACGCTAGTCTCAGGTTTTTGCATTCAATTGTTTACGAGTTTTAGGTATTCTACTCAAAGCTCTCAACTGGGTTTTCAAACAATTGCTGTGAAAAAAATTACTTTTCTGCAGGTAGTTTTTTCTGTAAGAAACCGTTTCTCCAGCACCTTTTTTAAGACCATTGATTAACAGACCTCACAAAATATTTCAGGAAAACCTAGAATATGTAATTTGATATGGCTTTATCCTTTCCAAAAGTAATGGCGGCAGTGCGCTATCCTGTTTCTATCAAAAGCTATTCAAAAAAAAATACAGTTGGGGTTTTGCTGAAATGGACATTAGTTGATGAAATAGTGACGATAGGCTACGATGATTATCCTATATTCATGTTTGTGTTATCAGACTTAAGTGAAACAAGTTAATTTAACTTTAGTTCAAAGTATCATTGGGTTCCATAAGATCTTTGAGGTACGCAACAGTCGAATCGGACAAAACCGAATCGGATCATAGTATATAGTTTTGCATTTTATGACGACGCGAAACTATTTTCCACTAATCCAGGTAAAAGGTTCACGCTACTGAACAACTGTTTACGATGACAAAAGAAGCTATGCAACTCAACAAATAATAAGGATAAATTTATTTACTAAATTTTTTTAAATTTTACATCATATTACGAGATCAGTTGAATGAACACTAAATAATTTTTTTGTTTTTTATTTTTCAATTCAGACTAAAGTTGGGCATGAAGTCACTCAAACGTGAATATAAATTATTTTGTTTTATTTCAATTTTGATTCTATTGTGGGATTAGTTTAACGAACAGTAATTTTTTTAGTATTATCTTTTTATTCAGATTACAATCAAAAGTGAGTATAGATAATGGGTTCTTATGTTTTTTCTTTATTGTAATTTATTATTGAACGATTTCTATGGACTTAAAAGACTTTTCAAATGCATAAAAATGATGAAACATATAGAAATTGCTGTAGCGAATTCATTGATTAAAATCACTATCTTCATCAATTTAATCCCATGATTTGGATAAAAAATCATTTCCATTACATTTGTTTGATGAAAATATTCAATTTAATCAATGGAATTAAAATACATCAATTTGTATGTCCGTTTCATCATTTGGAATATCAAGTTTGTGGTGTTTCTGATAAAAAATTCATGAAAAATATGAACTTTTTATGCTTTTTTAATTCCATGGAATGAATACAATAATGAATTAAAATAAAATACACTAAAATAATCAATTTTCAGCTAATTGTACTAGAGGAAGGCAGTAGAGACGATAGAAAAGGGGTTTAAAACAATGTATAATATCCACATGTCAATTCAACATTATCTCATGGAATTCTATCGAGTCCTGGGTGTATCTAATGTTTTCCAGCTGTCCAAGCCTACTGTCGGAGAATTGCCGGATTGTCTTGTATATCACATCAAATCCGACAGGATCCGACTATAAAGTTCTTTGGTCTGTATGATTAACAAGTGAAAAGGACGCAACATTTTTTAATTTTAGAGCAAAAGAATTCGGTAATGATATTGGAAGTGCATTGCATGCTATTTCAGAAGTCTAGAGAAAATATATGATATTTTGTGAACAATTCATAATAAATGATATTATAGTATTTTGCAAAAATAATTCATCACTTTTTTTCTCGTGTTTTTCTTTTGCAAAATTACTTTCAGTAGCTATTTATACTTTTAGATAATAGTATATTCAGCTGTCTATTAGAAATGTATGATGCAGATTTGACACGTCGTGCCTTTGAGTTGGCTTATGGATTCAAACTTAATGGTAGCAAAAAAGACTGTATCAAAGCTATTGGAACATGACAAACTGCCAAGCTGCTTGGAATTCGAAATCCATCATCAATTGTTAAATGGCGACAACAGAGGCTTTTTAATAATCATATTAAAGATAGATTATCTGTTCGACGAAGAAAGAAAAAGTAAAATGAAAAAGATGAAGCAAAAATCGTACGTTGGATCAAAGCAAGAAGATCAGCGAAACAACCAATCAAAATCCATCACGTGATAGAAAAAGCCAAGTCATTTCATGTTGATTGAAAACCTTATGATGTTTCAAGAATGATGGCAAGCAATGGAATATGTAAATGAACGATTAAGAAAGTATTGAAGAAACAGATGAAGCCTGAATTTTTAACATCAGTTCAAAATTTTCGTCAAATGGTTCAAAAGTCTCGAATTCCTGCCTCAAAGATATTAGTTATGGATGAAGCTGGTATCTGGAGTGATGACATTTCTCTATACACATATGCTGAAAAAGGATCAAAATATGTTGATGTTGTTGTACCAGATATAAAGATCAAGCACACAATTGTAGCAACACTCGGAGGTGATGGAAGTACTTTACCTGCACTTTGGATTAAACATCAAAATGCCAACAAGGGAAGAAAACAAAAAGCTATTAGAGGAATGAATACTATATTAATGCTGAAATACATTGATGAAGTTTTGGCACCAAATATACGTGATGCAAAAGTAATAATAATGAATAACCTTCGATGTCACCATAATCGACAAGTGTTGAAAAAAATAACCGACCTAGGACTGAAGACGTGGTTTTTTTCTTCCACTTGTTGCTTCGGAACTTCCACCATGTACCAACAATTTATCGTTCAATGCGTCACGATACAGACAAACAAATGAAAGAATCAGCATTCAAAGCCTATAAATTGGGGCAGTCAAAAACTATACGTTCCTATTTGAATCAATGTGGATTAACATTACACCATCGAGGAAATTTGTGAAATAGAGACATAAGAAGAGCATAAAATGTTCATTTTATTTGATGAAAAAAATCTTGTAAAATTGTCTCTTTTTGGAATAAAAATCGTTTTGAAAAGTGATGAGTTATTTTTGCAAAATATTATATTTTTAGTTTGACTCTACCATAAGTTATGTTAATTGTATAGGTTTGTGAAAGTAAACTACGGGAATACTTTACAAAGTGAAACATCGTGATACCTTCTGCAACACATAAGCTGTCAAGTTCAGATGTTGTTTTCTTAGATGATATATGAATTGTTTTCGTTGAAAGACCAATGATTATATAACCATTGTCTTTGTCTATAAAAATTTTAGAAATAAATCTTACATTGATTAATTTCAGCCGATTTTTTGCATTCTTGGGGATATTTTGTTTGTAAATGGTGATTAATATCATCTACTCTCCGGCTTAAACAGAAAGAAGAAAGCCAAAAAAATGACTGAAAGAACCATATAACTAAAATCAGACTTGATACTGCAAATATGGCACTATCTTACTCATGAACATCGATGATGCCTGTGAGAGGCTTTTTGCAAAAGATTCAGTGCATCATTACTTTCAAGCTCAATAAAAAAAGTAATAAGCGATTGGGACTTGGATGAAGTAAAACAGAATCTGATTAGTATATGAAAAGAAAAACATGATCTGCAAGATGAGAAAACATTACTTTTATCAGTATTGAGGTCGTTTGGATTTTAACAAAGTTAATTAAAAAATGAAAAATAATAATGTTGAAATATTTCAGCAACTTGATCCTTTTAATTTTTAAGCGAGAAGTACTAAATTCAAGTTTGTACTGTTTTAATTCTATTTGATGAAATCTGAGTCATATTTCACTGCAAGGAGAAGTTCTGATAATGATCTACCTTTATCACAAAAGATGGATTGATCTTTTTCCACTTAATGATTTTTTGAAAGCTGTGAATCTTTTAGTGTAGTAGTTCTTGGGTTTCCATTCTTCAAACAGCTAGAATTCTAAAAATTTCAGAGAAGAGATAGTTATGATGGAGCATTCTGAAACACAATGTTCAAGGCAAAAAATTAATTCTAGCTCAAGATTCGAATCAGATCATAAAATAATTACTACATGAAACCGCATCGCTTAGAAAAAGAATGATTTATTACTTACAGAAACAGAGCCCGTTTATGATAAAAATTTTACTAAGAAGAGAAAAAACATCGGGCTTTCCCATGGTGGATTGAACGGTATCAGATCGCTTTTAATAGCTCCAGATATGATCATACAAAAAATGTTGATATTAACTCTTTATCTTAATTTAACCAAGATGATGAAGCTAGAGTGAATGCTTGTAATCAGTGTTCATTAAGTTCTACTTATGGTGAAAGTTACAAAGTAAACGATTCATATTTGGATAGTTTTTGTCTTACTCCGAGACTCCTATCCACGGCTACATGTGTCGATAAATCATCTGAAGCATTTTTATTCATCAAATTTTGAAACAATGAAATCAGTTATAAGAATATCTTTTTGAAATTTATAAATTTATTTGCCATTATTTCTTATTATTGAATAA